AAAAGTTCAACTCAATACTTTGTAACATAACCTTTGTTGGCAATGACAAGGTCAAATGTTTCCTGCAAGTCTTCACCAGGTTTGCACACTGTAGCTGCTTTTCTGGACCATTCCTTTGTGCAGATCTCCACTAGAGCAGTGATGATTTGGGGCTGTCGCTGGGCTACACGGACTTTCAACTCCCTCTACAAATTCTCCATGGGGTTGAGGTCTGGAGACTGGCTAGGCCACTCCAGGACCTTGAAATGCTTTTAATGGAGCCACTCCTTCGTTGCCCGAGCGGTGTGTTTGGGCTGGAAGACCCAGCCACGTTCCATTGTCAATGCTCTCACTGATGGAAGGTGGTTTGACTTAAAATCTCACGATACATGGCCCCGTTCATTCTTCACAACACGGATCAGTCGTCCTGCCCTCTTTGCACAAAAACAGCCTCAAAACATGATGCTTCCACCTCCATGCTTCACGGTAGGTATGGTGTTCTTGGGATGTAACTCAGCATTCTTCTTCCTTCAAACACGACGAGCTGAGTTTTTACCAAAAAGTTCTATTTTGGTTTCATCTGACCACATGATATTCTCCCAGTCCTCTTCTGGATCATCCGTATGCTCTCTGGCAAACTTCAGACGGGCCTGGACAAGTACTGGTTTAAGAAGGGGGACACGCCTGGCACTGCAGGATTTGAGTCCCTCTCTGTATAGTGTGCAGCCTTTGTTACTTTGGTCCCAGCTCTCTGCTGGTCGTTCATCAGGCCCCTCCGTGTAGTTCTGGGGTTTTTGTGCACCAGTCTCATGATCACTTTGACCCCACGGGATGAGATCTTGTGTGGGGCCCCAGATTGAGGGAGATTATCAATGGTCTTGTTTGTCTTCCATTTTATTCACAGTTGATTTATTCACACCATCCTGCTTGCTGTTGTAGATTCACTCTTCCCAGCCTGCTGCAGGTCTACAATTTCCTGCCTGGTGTCCTTTGACAGCTCTTTGGTCTTGGCCACGGTTGAGTTTGGAGTCTGAGTGTTTGAGGCTGTGGACAGGTGACTTCTACTGATAACGAGGTCAAACTGGTCCATTAATCCAGGTAACAAGTGGACGACAGAAGAGCTTCTTAAAGAAGAAGTTACAGGTCCGTGAGAGCCACAAATCTTGTTTGTTATTGAACAAATACTTATTTTCCACCATAATTTACAAAGAAATTATTTTAAAATTCTACACTGTGATTTCTTGGATTTTTTTTTCCTCATTTTGTCTCATAGTTGAACCTATGATGAAAATGACAGACCTCTCATCTTTCTAAGTAGGAAATCTTGCACAATCAGTGGCTGACGAAATACTTTTTTGCCCCACTGTATTTTTTGCTCTTTTTATGCTCTCTGTTATCGTCACAACAGATTTCTACACTTTCAAACACACAAAACCAGTTGGGATGATCGTTTATTAAAGTTTTTGTTCTTTTTAATATACTCTAATCAACAAAAATAGCATTAAAGCCAGGGTAATATTTTAATATGCATGGAAAAAACACGTTATTTAGAATTTGAAGTTATATTTAGATTTTTAGTCGTATCCAAATGCAAGCGACCTCTATTTAAATACAGTAATGAAACTCTTTAAAGGGATAGTTCATCCTTTTTGAAGTGTGATTCTGTGAATGGGTCATGAACATTTAATATCTTATCTGTTGTCGATAGCTCTTTAAAACTAAGCGTCTAAGTGGCTTCAAACATCTGCTAAGTTCCTGGCAAAAGCCAGTGCAGACATGTTCCTGTTTTTAGTTTTCTACACCGCCTTACAATCTTAACTGTTTTTGTTTCATTTTTTTAAATACCTTTTTTTTCCACTTGTTTTGAATTTGTATGATTTGACCGTTGTCATTGTTGTTTAATGTTGTCATCATTCTTTGTTAAATCAGGTCTCTCTTGTAAATGAGTCCCCGAGGCTCAATGGGATTAACTTGTCTAAATAAAGGTTAAATGAAAAACAACTTTAATTTTGAAAAAAAAAAAAAGAGAATAGTCTTCACCTAAATGATGAGTTAACGACAAGTTAACGAGGGTAGCACTTCCAAAGTGGATCTCTTCCACCTTAAAACAATTCAAATCTTTAAACTTTTCAAGTGTTTAACTCTTTATCAGTTATTTTAGAATAAATACAAAAGAATCCAGCAGGAAGTGGCTCAGGCTGCACCAGAAGTGCTACAGCTAGCTGCTTCTGCTGCTATCAAAAGTTGCAAATAATCTGATAAAACACAGAGTAACTGTCTAATGTAAAACTGGTGGAGATGTAAAAAAAAAAATAAACAAGAAAATGGAAACGTTTGGAGATTTACGTTGTTATGGCAGCTGTTCACTAATCTGAAATAAAGTTGGACTTTAACAGTTAGCTTTAAATGTTACTTCTCCAAACTAAAGTTGTTCATAAAGCTTTCTACGTGAGGTATTAATGGCTTTTAACTTTGCAACGAACCAACTCAAAAATGTTCAAACAATCCCTTTAAGTGCTACTACGTTACATATATGTGTGAGGGTCAGCTAGTTTAACAAGTCCCAAAAATAATAAATGTTTTATTTATTTACTTTTTACCAACACACACCTGTCATTTTCTTGTTATCTTGATTATGGCCCCCTGCCTAAAGGAACAAGGTTAGTGATGATGTCTGTGTGTTTGTGAGTCTGTCTGTCAGCAAAATTGCATGAACCACAGGACAGACTTGAATGAAACTCACAGAAAGTAATCATTATATATTACCGCAACAACTGCTTCAAGACTGCCTCTACAGCCAAGCAACCGTGACCAACACAAAATGCCTATAACTCCATCAGTTGTATAGATATTGAGGTTAAATTTGATTTGGCAGTAGTTGAGAGTCATTATATATAATTTGAGATTATGATATTGTGCTTAATGTTGTTTTCAAGGTTTGACCAACATGGCTATAACTCCCTCATTTATCAGCGTAAAAAGATCATTATCTGTAGTTCTGACAGGAAACACAGCAGGGTGTTTAAATGTGACTCCCGTGACTCAAGGTGTTATATGAGTGCAAAGACAAGTGGACTCCTGTGCAGTTCAAACATTATTTTTCACATTTTTTCCTGTATTTTAGTCATAAAAACAACTCACTTTATGCTCTGGAAGTATGAAGAGTAAACTGGGTGAGTTTTCAGATGAAGGTGCTTACTGATGAGAAATTGATACGACAGGGCTGCAGCAGGTCAGTGAGGCCTTGTCCTCGGTGCAGTTTTGCAGAATGAACAAGAACGTGGTACAGCTGGGTGTTGTATTTCTGATATGCAAGCATTGTAAGGTTATCTAGTATTGACGGATGGATCTGGGCTTGAAGAGGCTGAAGGATTATTAGGGAGCAAGACCTTGCTTGAAAAGAATAACAGTTAGGACGTGAAGCAAACCCAATTTATTAGTTTTTTTTCTTGTATTGGTAGAATTTAGATTAGATTTAAAGGAACCGTTTGTTGCTGATGCTTTTTGAAACATGGCTCAAAACATCCTGAGAAATGTGTCAGGTAACTATTGATATTATGCTGTTGACCTTAACATTACTTTAACATTACAGTTTATAATAAAAGATGCATTGTACTAAACTAATTTAACATTTGCTAAAAGATGTTACATTTTAGTCTCAACTTTCAATAAAGGCTATATGTTTTTCATTAATGCCCACTGTTACCATTTAAATAGCTTTATTTAACTCCAATTACTTGTTTCAAGCAGTTGCTCTACTTTTGTTTGTATGTTTGTTTAGTTTACTCGATGGCCAAAATACTTGGAGGATGTCTGTGTGTAAACAATCTGCCAAGAGAGTAGTTGAGCATTTAGAGGGAAAGTTGCAGTATAATTATAGAGTAGGTTCTGTCTATAGAGAGACGTACCATTTGGTTAAAAAAAAAAAGTGGCTGCTCAAAACAGTGTCTGAGTGGAAAGTCCTCCTCTGTCCCTCCTCCCGTGGAGGAAAGGCTGAGAGATAATCGTCAGATGCATTTTGAAGTGAAAGACAGCTTTAGTCTTGAATAGAAATATTCACTGAGGAACATAAACTGAGGTAAGGATCAAAAAAATGTCAAGAATTTTTGAGAAGAGGATTGTGTATAAAATGTATAAGATGTCTAGAACATTTTTTTGTTTTCAAAATTATTGTGTTTTGATATATAATAGATTTTAATACTAAGTTACAAACAAAATAGGCGTTTTTTTTTTTGTTTGTTTTTTTATTACATACTGTACATGCTTTTTCCTTCTCAATGTTTGCTTTCTTGTACTTTTCCTTACAACTGTATTTGTGTTAGGGCTGTATCTCACCAGACTGTGAATGTTGGAAATCAGTTGTTGACTCAAAATTGCAAGAAAATTGGCAAGTTTTCAGTTGCAGTCTTACTGAATTCTGAATGTTTAGGACCAGGAAGTCGTGGAGCTTCATCTAAAGCAGCGAATATTTGAAAGCCACTGCCTAATTTTGTTTACATGGCTTATAAATCATCTGTATTCTAGTCCATGCATCTTCCTTTGTCACCTACATCATACCCTCTTTGGCAACTGCCCCCTTATTTGTGATTTAATTAACCCGTGTGCATTTTTTAAACAAAAATATGCAAATTTGGTCCAGTGGTTAACAATAGTTTTTTGTATTTTTTGTTAATTAGCGTGGCTTTAAGGTCTGTATTCTCAGATATTTTCTAGTTTAAGGAGAGCTCTCCTGCATGTGTCAAAATGCAGCTCTAGCAGTCTAGCATTTTAAAACATTTTGAGATGGATTGGAGCTGAGTTTGACATGTCTGCTACAGTTTGATGATTTTTTTTATATATAAAATTAGTTGCACAGCGTTTTTGAAAATTTTAAAAATTCAAGCAACAAAACTGTGAGCCTCTTGTGAATCACAAGAGACAACTGAGAACCTGTGACGTTTCGACCTTTGGAGATTCCTTCACAAAGCCATTTACTAACTATTATTTTCAGTTGCAGCCCAGTGAGATGCTGCTTTAAGAATGTAAAAGTAAATATTTTCCCCCATTGGTCCTACAGGTCAAAGCCTTGAAGAGTGCATTCCTACGTACGCAGGGATTGATTGTATTTATCATCTGGGTTTGGACAGTAACCAAAACGGCATCACCATTAAGCGACTAAGCCTTAAAAAGAGGCCCAGAGTGGCTTTCAATAATGGGGAAAACCCACAAATTGGACAGTGGCATTCTGCAGAGTCTGTGTCATTATCTGGCAGGAATGATACAAGATCAATGGACAGGACTTCTGCACCAAAAGGTAAACCTCCTCTTCCTCCTCCACACTGTTCTTTGTTGGACAGCAAATCTACCAAGACTGTAAGTCCTGGCACCTCTCGGAAACTCCCTGAGTCAATTCCTCGACAGCGTGACAGATATTCATCGTCACAGAACAAAAATCCAATGATAGATCAGATAATCGTAGAGACAAACAAACACTTTAATCAAGATGTGTCAAGCCAGTCCCCACCTCAGCCCCTTCCCCGTCGTCGACTAGCCAGCTTTGGAGGTATGAGTACCCCTGGGTCTCTCTCACCATTCACTGGCCTAGGTGCCTATAATCAGAACAGTGAGCCTGCTTCTGATATGAGTATCCATCTTAGCTCATCCTTGGGAAGTAGAGGCAGTACTGGCTGCTTGAGATTGAGTCCACAGAGCTCTGGCAAAACTACTCCAGTTACAAGCCTTGGATCCATGCAGCTTCAGCATGTTCGTGACCAGATGGTGGTAGCTCTAGAAAAGCTGAAGGAGCTAGAGGAACAAGTAAAGATCATTCCTATTCTCCATGTAAAAATCTCTGTCCTTCAGGAAGAAAAGAGGCAGCTGGTCCTTCAGCTAATAAACCAGAGTGACAATGAAGATATGACCTGTAAAAAATCATCTTTTATGGAAAAGTCTGACACCAAGAAAAAGGTGAGCAAAGATTCAGAACCTAAAGATGACCAAGACGTCTGCACTGACTTTAGAGAGTTCAAGAAACTATCAGAGGAAATGCAGGCATTGGAAAGAACCATCAAAAATGGACATTTGCAAGCATGGAGTGAAAAAAGCTGTAGCCTTTTGCAAGATAAGGCTAGTAAGTCCATTGCTGTTGGAACTGATATACCGGTAAATGTGGATATAACTGTGTCTAAAACCTCTAAAGAAAGCAAATATACATTCACTGATCAAATAGAGACAAAGTCCATTGCAACAGAGGTGACAGAGGTTCATCTTGGACTTTACTCAAAACAAGAGGTAGAGCTTGAAGCCCAGCAAGTAGTAAATGGTGCCCTAAGGGAGAGAATTCACCAGCTAGAAGCAGAGTTAAAAGAATCAGCTCTCCAGACTGAGTTGATTCGTCTGAAACTAGAACTACAAGTTGCAGGAACCAGGAACCGAGTTGACAAGGCCTGTTTAGCAAGGCCAGCCACTGTCAGCATGGGCACAGAAACAAAGCTGTCCTCAAACAGCAAGAGAGTGTATAACGATGTAGAGCTTCGAGATGCCAGCACAGGAGAGACAATACAGGTCAAAAGTGTGGGAGTATCTTGTGAACCGACAATGAAGAACACATGCACAGGCCCAGATATGCCTAACAGTCACTGGGATGTCAAAGAGCGAGTGGAGACCAGGGATAAAGCTGTTGGAATTGAAGTTCCCACAAGAACACAAGGAACTGGGACAGAGATGATGTTGTATGAGGAGGAACAAGTAGAGAATCTGAAATGCAAGAAAGAAAATATTACATGTAAAACAATGGTTCATGAGGATTACTCTATCAACATGACTGTTTGTGAGGCAAAGCAACAAGTTTCTCAGTGTTTTACTACCAATTTAGCCAGAGGAGTTGATCTAGGCATCATGGCATCACCCCAAACAGCTTCACAACTTACCAACACTGTATGCAGTACTGTGTCTCGATTTACCAACACCAGCCAAGCCTTCAGCAACAATTCCAGCACAAATACACTTCTCAGTAAACAAGACAAGCACACCAACACCACTCACACTTTTACTCGAACAGTGTCTGTCGGTAACAAGATTCAAGGCTTTACATGTACCACAGAAACCCGTTCAATTGGTGTAGATACAGCAAACCTAGCTGAAGGTACTTTAAAGCAAATGCCAGAGACAGGGAACAAGGTGACTCGAGACTGTGGTGTTGGATTCACAAGTATTTATGAGAATTTTCTAGTGGGACTGAAAACTCGGAATATGGCCTCTGGACCATCCCGTCTTCCTGATCCCATCAAGACAAAGAGTATTGGTGTTGGTGAAGGGAGGATATGGGATACTTCTGTTTCTTCTGATTTGCCTAGACAAAAATTCCAACATTCCACACAGTTCCAGTGGGATCTTGAATTGAACCATTACATTGAGAAGATGCATAGGCTCCTAAAGGAGCATGGAGACCTTCTCACAGGGGAGTGTACCCGTGACAGCAGAAAGAAATCATTCTGCAATACCAAAGATTTGGCACAAGGAGGGACAGAATTACATCAGTTCACGTCTAAACCAACAGGTAACACTACAAACTTGTTCAAAGTTCGATTTCTAACTTAAGTCAGATTCTCTTGTACAGGTCTCTCTTGTAAATGAGTTCGCATGGCTCAATGAGACTAACCTGTATAAATAAAAGTTGAATGTATTCTGTTTTTTTCCTTCTATAGAAACTGATAGAAGACATAAATGTTTTATTATTGCCCACCGCTAAAAGGTGAAAGTCAATTAATAATGTTTTGTCTGTGTCTCCATATGTGTGTTTATGTTTGTGTCTGCAAAATATGCACCATTGGACAGATTTTACTTAAACTCTCAACTCAACAACTCTACAACTGAATTCAACCCAAGATGGCCACCATAGTGATTCAACCTTAGAAAACACAAAAATAGTTATTACTTTAATTTTGCAGATATTAAGCTAAACTTTTATGTGATAACAGCTGAGAATCATTTACAACATACTGTATTCTGAGTGCTCTTGTGACATTGCCTGAGACTGAGCTTAATGTTTCTGAGGTTTGACCAAAATGATTGTCTAAAACTCTAGCCTGATAGGAGTGTGCATTATTCATTTCTTTAAGGAATGATAAATCTTTATTTATTTAGCGACAAAGTTAAATTTCATGAAAATGTATTACGGTACAATTTTTTTTTCCATATTGTGTTTTGAACTATTATAAATTTTAATTCAAAACCAAATTCCATGATATTCTGGAGTTTGACTGCTCTAAACTTTTTTTTTTTTTTTTTTGCTTATCATACTCATGATAAGTATGTCACACTACCTGTTCCCAGTTAAACATGGTTGATGGGGCATGGGGGATACAACTCCAAATTTCATTAAGAACGTCACTGGATGTCCAGGGTTCCCAGCTACTAAGGAAATCAGGGAAAACATGGAAAATGACTTTCATATTTTCCAGACAGGAAAAGCTCAGGAAGTTTGAGCACTAATTAGATTTTTAAAAGATGATCTTTGAGATTTTCACATGTATAATATAATTAATTGTAATTAATTAATTGTAATTCATGTACCAGTAGGGACAGCATGGTGGCACAACCAGTAGAGCTGCTGTCTCAGTGAGCAGGTCCCCGGTTTAAATCCCGGTCCAGGGGCCCTTCTGGGTGGAGTTTGCATGTTCTCTCCGTGCATGTATGGGTTTTCTTCTGGTACTCCTGTTTCCTCCCACAGACCAAAAACATGCATGTTAGGCTGATTGGTAACTCTAAATTGTCTCTAGGTGTGAGTGAGAGAGTGAATGGTTGTTTGTCTCGTTTGTCTAAGTGTCCCTGTGATGGACTGGAGACCTGTCCAGGGTGTCCCCCGCCCCTCGCACAGTGACTGCTGGACATGGGCACCAGCGACCCCCGTGACCCAAAATGGAAGAAACAGGTAAAAGATAATGGATGGATGGAATGGATGGATGCACCAGTATTAATGCTAGTATTTTAATACCATTGAGTCCATGTTCTGCTTCTACAGCATACAAAGGTCATGCATCCTTATTCAATTCATTTCTATTCCAGTTAATTTATATAAGTGCCAAGTCACAACAGAAGTCATCTCAGGGCACTGTACAAAAACATTCACATACATAAAAAGCCAATTAGTAAGTTATACATCTGAGGAAGCTAGCAGATTGCATTGAATCTTCACTTTGTCTCCCTTCCTGAGCAAGCACACTGGCAACAGTAGAAAGGAAAAACTGCCTTTTAACAGGAAGAAACCTCCAGCAGAACCAGGCTCAGGACGAGCGACCATCTGCTTCGACCAGCTGGGTTTAAGAGGACAGGAAGGAGAGACAAACATAATGGCATGTCCAGATGTACTTTCTATTGGAAGAAAGACAAAAAAACACATGTTAGGAACAGAAATAATTACAAATACAAATAAGTAGAGTAGAGCAAGTAAAGACAGCAACAGAATGAGGAAATGTGGTCAGTTTGTCCTCCAGCACTCTAAACCTATAGCAGTATAACTAAAGGATAGCACAGGAAACCCAAGCTGATGCTAACTATAGGGTTTATCAAAAAGGAAAGACTTAAGCTTCTTAAATGTAGACAATGTGTCTAATTTGAATTTTTTATTTGCTTGGCTATGGTGGATTTTTAGTATCTGATGGTATGCAATATAATTAATTAATTATGTTGAGTTATTGATGGATGCACATATCATAGGCTATACTACTTTTTTTTTTTGCCATCGCTGAATGTGATTCTGCCCGCCACCTAAGACACTAATTTCTGAGTGTTTCATGTAACAAAAATATCTCCTGTAATTTTAGGATTTACTCAAGAAAAAAATAAAGGAAAACTCTGATTATTTTGTTTTCTTGAATTGCTGGGAAACTTGGATGTCTTCATTGTGCTAAGTATTTTCTGCATGGATAGTATACCATCCATGTCATGTTTTTTTAATATTGACATTCCGCCTTTTTTTCCCTGCAGCCAACATCAACTTGCTTTCCATACCTGAAACTTTAGTTTCTTCCTGTAAGAGTGGCATCCAATGTTCAGGAAGCAACCAGTTGGATGGTAACGAGTCAGAAGTGAAAAGAATGATAAAGATGTTAGAACAACAGTCAGACTCCACTGTGCAAGGTAAGCAGATATAATTAGGTTTTACTTCCAGACACTATGGCTTGGATTTCTTCTTTATACAGAAGCTCAATATGTACGGGTAAGAAAATTCTTTTTGCAAAATAACTTTAGTTGAAAGATCATTTCAATGAAGGTTTTCATATTGCAACCACTCCCATGGCCCAGTTTAAACTTGAACCTGGTTCAGAGGATGTGGTTGCATCTGGTTTGGCAAGTTGACTTTCTGTGGCATACAGTTGCAATGTTTGGAATGATTTCTGGGTTTGGAAGTTGCTTTGTCCCACATAACACTTTGTGGCTTTGTGTCTAAAATTAAACTCTTTGTAGGAGGAACTAGTGTCTGGGAATGTTTTCTCAACTTGTAAATTCCACAATGATTTTTAACTTTATATACACAAATTATACATACCTCCTTCACTATTTTTCAAAGCACTTACTTTGACATTCCAATGGTATCTGCTGTGGTACATGATCCATAAGCTCCTGAACAGTAGTGTTCTTTTGTCTTTGTTGACAGTGTTGACAGGGGATGATCACAGCTTTATTCTATTTTTGATTGGTTCTGCAGTTATCAAAAAATGTTTTAGTGACCAACAACAGCTGCATTTGTTGGTACCCAATATGCCTAAAATAGATAAAAATGTTAGAATTTTATTTTTATGCCCCTCAAAATACTTAAAGGTAAGTTTTATAATTGTTATTTTAGACAGATCTAATGTCTTAAAGCCCTGGTCAGCAATGAAGAAACAAAGTGGTGACCAGTGCTGTGGCAGCAACAGGAAAAGCATGAAGTTTTTGAAGGTGACTACAGGGTAAGTATCATATTCCCAGTGATATTTTACAAGTATACATGTTGGATGTGATTAGTTCTTTCAGATTCATCCTGTTGGGTTGTGTTTTGGTTTTAGATTGGACCCAGTGTCAGCCTATGAAAATGAGGAAGAACCAAGAAGAGACCATCAAACTTTTAGCAATATCTCTCAAGATGGGATTCAAATAAAAAAGGGAAAAGATGTCTCCAAAAGGGGATCAAAGGGATCTTCAAAATTATATAGGCAACAAAGGTAATGTACTGTTGAAACAATCTGCTGTAGATTAAAGTTACCAAGAAAAACGATATCCAGCATTTGTTCAATTAAAAAGACAGACTGGGCTGTGACAGCTGGAGACTAGCAGCTTAACAGCCGTTACAAAATTATGATGAAAATGTCTTGAAACGTTAGTTAGGTTCTCAGTTTTCTTGCACAAGTCACAGATTTTTGTCACATGAATTTTGAACATATTCAAAAAAATTGTGCAATAAATCCTTGTTCAAAAGTTGTTGATAGCACCTTGAGTCCCTCTCAGTTTTGTTCCACTATTTTAATGCACTAGAGCTCTATGTTGACACCTGAATGGGAGCTCTTTTGTGACAGAAGGGTCAAGAGTATACAGCCCAGATGTTCTGTACACCTTGGTGTTGTGTTAGCATACAATTTGTATTGAGATTATCATACTTACAATAATCAGTTATTCAATACATTTGATCAGCAGCTGTTACTTTCCCTCTTAGATCTTATAGCAGCAGTAAGGCTGTACTTAATTTGCACACAAAACGTCTCCTTTTTGGCTTAATTTTTTGTTTAATAAATATTAACATGGTAAAATATAGAGGTTTCTTTTTTTGTAAATTTCAGATTACATTTGAATAATTTTACAGCCTGGGAAACCAATTATTTTTTATAGTGTCTTGAAATGTAAAATACCAGATCTGAAAGACAGTGCACTTTCCCCCTCTGTGACTAGTAATACATGACTAGCAGTCTGTTGTTGAGGGATTGTTGGAATTAAAAGCCTCACTGCATCACTTGGATTATTTTGAGAATCTTTCACAAACTCCTGAAGTCTGAGCTCAATAACTTGAACAGATTATTCTTCCCTCAGGTGTAAGTTAAGTGAAAAGATATATTCTGCCTGCCAAACTCTAAAGATGCACCTCGATGAGAACACAGCTTTGTCCAGCAGAGAAATGGTACGTCTCCTTCTCTGTTTTCTGTTTGAGGACTGGCATGTCTGCACTTGTGCACAAAAAGCATTTAGGCCTACATACAGCATCTTTATACGCTCATTACTGGATGGGTGTGAACTAGGTTTGAGCAAAGTGTGCTCAAGTCTATTATTTAAAAATATAAACCTAGTGATCTGGATACGAGGAGAATGTGGACTGAGCTGTAATGTTCAGCTCCAACTTTTTCCTAAATCTAAAAAAAACATTTGCTTTGTGAAAGAGAATGTTTAAAAACTTACACAAAGAATTAAATTATTTTATTGCAATTTTGTTATTACCTTCAGCATAATAATAATTTAGGATTTTTTGTAAAAAAAAAAAAAGAAAAATATTTATGTATATATATGTATATGTATGCATATGTATGTATGTATGTATGTATGTATGTATGTATGTATGTATGTATGTATGTATGTATGTATGTATGTATGTATGTATGT